CAAGAATGGATTATCATTTCAAAAATGTGTATTTTAAAAATATTTTTAAATATATTAATATTTTATATTAAATATTTTATATTAAATATATTTAATAAAATATTTAAAAATATTTTAATCAGAGAGATTTCTCTTTCAAGTAGAAGTTCGAACTGATAGATCAGACGGAGAGCCAGCTGTGTTCCACAAGTTCGTTCAGATGTCCACCTTCCTTCTAATCTTGTCTTTTCAGTGTTCCCTAGGGTATTGCCCTTGGCTTTATGGTTAAGCAAAATAACTACCACCGTGTCTGGGTCCCAGACTGCAATAAGAAGGAAAGACAGAGTAGAGTACACGCAGGTTCAGAAAGGGTATTTTTAATAGGAAGACAGGAGACAAAATCTCAGAATAAATCCAAGAAACAGCAATGGCCTTATACTAAAACGTATGAGTGTGAGTGTGCATGTGCGTGTGACACAATAGTCTTTGTCTTTCTTATTTCACCACGAACCTGTGAAAACTTCACACATCTATGAATCAGCATTTGGGAACTACAGCTGTATCCTATCTTGCCATAATAAACCTAAGACTCACTCTCATTCCCATTTCTAATTTGCAGCAAATTAGATAACAGTTACCTAAAATGCAATTAAATTTTGGAAGAGAGGAAACTGGAAATAGATTCAGTCAATTCTGATGTCTGTCCAGGAACGGGTCATTAGTGACTACAAAGCCACAGAATTTCACACCTAGTAAAGTGAACAAGAGAACCTTAAACCTGAGAGATGTGACCATGTTTTAAAATGTTTTCAGATCCCAAAGCCCTGCAGAGAGTTCCTGCACTGCTAGGAACGCACTGAACAGCTCCACATGTGTTTCCCTGATGGGACTGTGCCCATGTGTGAATTCTGGGTTCACCCTTGATATCTGGCACTTTTCCCCTGCCACCCACCGAGCTCATTCCCAGGAGAACACACAAAGGCTTCAAAAACCTTGCTGGGTGATGCAGGGGTGGGTGCCTAGGTGACTCGGCTCAGGTCATGATCCCAGAGTCCTGGGATCAAGCCCCGGGGGGGCTCTCTGCTCAATGGAGAGTCTGGTTCTCCCTCTCAACTCTCTCACTCTCTCTCTCTCTCTCTCTCTCTCTCTCTCTGTGCTCTCTCTCTCAAATAAATAAAATTTAAGAAAAAAACAAACAAAACCTTGCTGAGGAAACCAAACTGCAAGCAATTCTTCATTAGAACCTTCCCTCATAGCATGTGTCTTCCTCAAACACAGATTTGCCACTGAATATGACCAAAAGGGGGTTCACGTGATCTAAACCCAGAAGCATCACACTCCTAAAGGCCAGGAGCTCTGGCTTAGGAATGAAATTGTCTTTCCTCATGAAACACCTGCACATCCGAGCTTAGCCTGAACAAAGAGTACATAAGCTCCTCTTTGGAGAGACCTGGGCGGATACCTATTTTAAAAGGCTGCAATATTGAATGCAAAATCAGAACCAAGCACCCCATCCTAAGTGGAGTCCTAAAGGAGAAAGTAACACCTGTTCAAACAATGAACCATTACTGTGCCAGGCAATGTCCTAGGCCAACTGTTCGGAAAGAGGGGTGACTGTGCCCCTCATGGGCATCTGGCAGGGTCTGGACACATTTCCAGTGGTCACAACTGGGGGCAGAGGGTTACTGGCCTCGAGCAGGCAGAGGCCAAGGTGCTGCCGAACGTCGTGCAATGCCCAGAACTGTTCCCACAACAAAGAATTATCCAGCACGAAACATCAATTGCACTGAGGTTGAGAAACTCTGCTCTAGATTCTAGGAACACAACAGTAAACAAGGAACAGACAGAAACCCTGCTCCCTTGAAGCTGGCAGTCTACTGGGGAGAAACATAAACATAACATATTAAAAACGACAGAGTCAGTTGTAATATAAGTATTATGGAATCAATAGAGCAGGGCACGGAAGATGACAGTCTGGAGGGAAAGCAATTGTATGTAGTGGGATGGGCCTGCTAAAGATATTAAAAGTAAGACCTGAGGTTGGTGAGGAAGTGAGCGCTATGGCTCTCTGGGCAAAGACGGTCCACGCAGAGGCACCAGCAAGAACAACATACAAAGGCCTTATGAGGAGGGGTCTGGAGTGTTCCAGGAACAGCGACGAAATGAGTTGGCGACAGCACATGAACTCAGAGCTGACAGGGAGCTTGACCATATAGGCTGCCTTTTGCCAGTTAAAGGATTTCGAGTGTTACTGAAACTAGGAGCCACTGGAGAATTTTAAGCAGAGAATGGCATGATGTAGCATGTTTTAACTCACTGTTTCTCAGCACTGGCGATGACCATTGAGGGCCAGATAATTCTCTGTTGCCGGGGCTCTCTTGTGCATTACAGAATGGTTAGCAGCATCTCTGGCTTCCATTTACTGAAGACCAGTACCAACGCCCTTTCATTCGGACAACCAGAAATATCTCCAGACATTGTCAAATGACCCCTGGGGGGCAAAAATCTGCCCCCCACGAGAACCGATTTTAACGGGAACATTAAGGCTGCCGTGTAGAAAATCCACCAGAAAGGGTATAGAGGAGAAGGCAAGAGAGCAGTTAAGAGACTACAGCAATCACCCTGGCACAGGCTGGTGAGGACTTGGACCAAAGAGGGAGCAGAGGAGCTGCTGAGAGGTGGGCCGACTCTGAACACATTTTCAACTCCAAGACACAATCCAGAGAATATAACTGATAGACGAAATGGCTACGGCAGTCTTAACCTTTCCATTTCTGCTTTTTCCATCCAACACTTACAAGAAGGGAGGTGCCCTGGCAAAGACTTCAGACAAAAAGCCATGAGGAGGCCCCCAACAACATGTAGCCCTTTTAAAGTCACACAACAGATGCCGATGACAATAAGTTAGACAACTGTGGAAAACAGTATAGGGAAATTTTGCCAACCCCATATATTTATTCACAGATTTTATTTAACTGGTTTATTTCAAAGAGCATGTGTCTGCTCCACAGACAAGTTTTACAACAACTTTTTTAATTTAGCATTCCTCTCCATACCGGTTCTGTCCCGCACCTGTTTCTAGCTTCAACGTGTGAAGCCATTGCTTCCCACGTACCCACATTTTTCCTTACACATGCTAGCTAGCTACCGAGGACGTTCACCCTTGCAAGTAATTTTTTGCCGACTCTGAAAAAGAACAGGCCCAAATCCTTCAACATGAGTTTCATGGCACTCATTTGGGTTTTTCCAGATGGTATTTTCCTCACGCTCTCAAACTCATTTAATGTTATGTATCAGCTCCCATCAAAAATGTTCCAAACAGTCCGGTTAATTCATTTCTTTCAGGACTACACACACACACACACACACACACACACACACACACACACACTCAAAACACTCACTCCCTCATTCTGGCCATGTAAGCATTTGCTTATAGAAGCAAAAGCAGAGACTGCTCGGTAAAACACTGGTCCCTTCAGCCGAATGCACATAAAGCCCCAGTGAGCATAACCAACAATACCCTTTACACAATATTACTCAAAACCCCCCAGCCCCCAACACACACAATCTATGCTCACACACAAAACAGCCATTATGAAGAGAAACCATCAACTAAAGGCTGGTTTTAGGCATCTAGCTGCATTTCCTTCCAATCCCCTTCAAGCATCTGCAAAGAGACTGCTCTAGCAGCCCAGTCAGTGGGTATGTCGTTCCCAGATTTTCTTCTCAGACTTGGATTCAGAGTCTTGACACAGCCCTGAAGGAAACGAACCTGGTGCTGCTTGCCACCAGAGCAAATACCAGCCCCACGCGCCCCAGAAGCAAAGACTGTACTACTTCCCTCCTGATTCAGCTGCCCTTCTCTTCCTCCACCCTGATTTCTGGAACCGCTCGCCCTCTGCCAGCCAGGCCCCCTCACCCAGACTCTGCCCACTGCGAGGGGTAGGCAGGAAGGTTTGAGATGGGTACAGAAGCACTGCTGAACCTTCCCGGTAGAGCCTCATCTCCTTTCTCAACTGAAAAGGGATGGACATAAATTCTTCTCTACTATCACAACCTCAAAGGACCATCTCCCCCTTGGTAAACAGTGGAAATGCCCCGAGGGACCACAGGACAGAGAAAGGAAGATACCCAACCCATTCCGATGGACGAGTGGAAATGGAGGTAGCATAGGAAGTGGGCACGCGACGCGGTGGGGCGCCAGACCAGCGGATGTCTTCACTTCTCTCCAGAAAGTTTTGGAGCAGTCCCCAGCAAATAAAACACGTGTCGCGGCCAAGCAGGGGCCCTGCCAAGCAGGTGTGTCCCAATATCCTCCAGTTCCAAGGCTTCTTCCCCTCCAGGGAAGGCCTGGATTTGAATGGAACTCTATTGCCTAGGGAGTTTAACCTGGACGAGAGACACGCCCACCCGCGGCTCCAAACCGGCCCGCGCGCGGGTGGCGAGGTCTGCAAGGTGAGAGGCGGGGCCCGGGAAGCATCACCTGGAATCGGCCAGGGGCGGGCTTTCCCAGAGGAGCCCGACTCCTAGGAGGCGACAACAGACGAACTAATTGCTTCCCTCGCGCATCAATCCACACCAAGCACTCCCTCTCTGAGTCCTCAACCCGCTAGGATCTCCAGAAAAGGGGTTCACGAGAAACTCTTTTTTTCCCTCTTTCCCACCCGGACAGCGTCCGGGACCCGCGCTCCTCCTCCCCCACCTGCGCGCCAGGTCCCTCCCCACCCCCACCCGATCTCAGCAGCTGGTATCCCCAGACAAGGGACCCCTCACCTGGGCCGGCCGTCCCGGGCTGCCCGCGGCGCCCCCGACGCGCACTTGAGCGGAGCCCCCCAGGGGCGTACCGGCCCGGCAGGCGCGGCTCCCAACTGCGGGGGGTAGTTCGCCCTCTGCCCCCGAGCAAGGACACGGGGTCCTTGTCCCAGAGCCCGGGCGAGCGGCTTTCCCCGCCTCAGGGTGTGGGGCGCGGGGGGCCCCCCAGCCGCCCGCCGCGCCTCCCTCCAGCTGTCACCACTCACCTGCTCTTCAGAGGTTGACTTTTGAGTTCGTAATAGGTTTTGGGCTCTTCGTGAAACTCCTCCCCGACTTCGAAATCCGGCACGATCCCCGATTCCGACTGCATGGCTCCCGCTTCCCGTCCTTCCACTGCTCGAAAGTGAGAACAGAGCCCCGGGGCAAAGGGAAGGTGACGGGGCCTGGGTACCCGGAGCGGTGCGCCCCAGCGCAGTGCCCAGCTCAGCCCGCTCGCCCGCTCGCGGCCGCCCGCCCCGGCGCGGCGAGTTTACACTCGCACCCGGGCGGGAGGGGCGGGCGGTCGCGCGCTGCCTGGGATCTGTAGTTCGGCCCGGACGGGGTGTTCCCGGCTCGCCAGGGGAGGCGCTCCCGCGAAAACTACAACTCCCAGAAGGCCAGGCGGGGGCAGAGGCAACGTGGTGGACACCGCTATTGCAACTCCTGTTTGGATTCATTGTCAATGTCAGCAGCTCCTCTCGCTCTTCTCTCCCCACTTGCTTCAAGGGTACAGACTTGGCTATTTAATATTAATAAGAATGGACTCAGCCTTGCTCTCCTCCCGTCACCCCTACTCCCAGCTCAGACATTTGCGAGGGCACGCCAACTCCGTAATGAAATAAAAAAAAAAAAAAAAAAAAAAAAAAAATATATATATATATATATATATATATATATTAATCATGAAGGGTTTGGGCACTGGAAAGTTTTAGCCTTCAAGCCTGCCTTAAAATAAAAGGACTTACTATCAGGTTTCCCAGCGCTTCTGCGACATATCAGCTTGTCCTCAGATTGGAATGGAGTGAAGGTTTTTGCCTTCGTTTTATAATTAAAACATTATTGTAAAATTTTTTCTTCTGCATTCCTTTTCTATAACTCAGTCTGGGCTTTTACAGTACTATTCATCCTGCTGAGTGGCTCTTTTCCCTATATCCGGTTAGCCACTTTTAATCTAAAGCAGCACTTGAAAGTTTCTGTTAATTTTAAAAGGCACGAAGTTACAAAACAACGTCGTCACTGTCTGCCTCTAATTTCTCAGTTTGCTGGGAGTTCAAACGAGATTTTCCTAACAATTCAGGAGTGAATTTGGGGGTGAATGAATTGTTCAGGTGTCTTCCTTCCGCCTGAGCTTTCTGGCACCCATTTAGGTAACAAAATAACAGGCTTAGATATGGCTCATTTGTACCTCCAGACCTTCCCTCTGATTAGGTCCAAAAGGATGTGTCCTTCTTTTAAAAATGTCTAGAGGCATCAGGGAGGCAGTAGAGTTAGAGGGTGGCATTTAAACTTATGAGACTCAAAGTTGAAATCCTTAAATCCCTGTCTAAAGCACTATGTAATATTGGGCATGTCACTGATGATTAGAAGCCTCAATTTCTTCATCTGTAACAGAGGAGATTGGCAAACCTGTCTTAGAAGATGTTGCAAGGTCAAATGCAAGGGAAAGTGATTTATGGTCTATAGAAACGCTGCCCAATGATCATTCTTTCATCTACTGTATCTTAAAGATATTCCTCTCAGACCAACACTTCATCTGTGTGTTTGTCCTTCCAGAAGTAGTAAACTAAATGATCATCCTTGGATAAAACTCTAAGGAGGCTGGACCGATGATTGGACTTCTCCCAGATTCCACTGACCCCTTAAAGGTTATCAAGAACTTCATGTTAGAACTGCAGTGTATAACCTCTTTAGAACTGTAATGAAATAGTCCATTATGTCACTCATTACATCAAAGCACTCTTTGACCAACGAACTAGTAGACCAAATGAACTAAACCTGAAAGAGGAAAAAGAACTGTCGAGAAAGCTAAGAGCCCTGAATTTACTTCCAACAAAGTGCACCTTCCAGAGAGACCTGTAGGGTAGGGCTCTGAGCTAAGGTTGCCCTGAGGTACACACAGATAGCCGCTATTTTTTTCCCCTACACCTTTTCTTCTGGTCTCATCTGCTCTGGCTTAAGGAAACGTTCTCTTCTATCACATGTGACAGAATTATTGATTAGAGTGTCATCTGCCACCTAATGGGAGTGGGTATGTGAATTAATCCTGACCAATAAATGGCCCCTTTTCCTTAGCAACAGCGATTCCTTTAGAGATGGACAGAGGACACTAACATGACTAAAAGTTCTCCTTTGAACTTTTCTGTAGGGCAACCAGGAAAGACTGATGTGTGAAAGTATGATGTTCCAAGGAAGACAACTTAAAACTAATTATTTATGGCCACATAGGGAAGCTGACCAAAACTGAGACCATGAGATAAGATCAACAATCAGAGAAACAGATACCCTTAGGTTTTCCAGAGATACAAGCCTAAAATTCTTTCTTTTTGCTGATACTACTATGGTTTAGATTTTTGTTACTTGCAACCAAAAGAGTTCGAGTAATCAATCACTCTAAAAACTTTTCACTCCTTTAGACACTTCCCTATGGGAAGCCATACCATTAATCCACATAATAAAAAGTTCGCCACCTGATAGATGGCACTGTAACCCCTCTTCATTAATGATTTAGCCCTAGGAATAGATACCCCTTCTTTAAAAAGGTGACAAAAGTCAGTATCTTCATACATTTCAACCAGAGATTGTGTCTATTGAAAGTACAAAAGAAAAAACATACAAAAGATTATAATTATTGTCACGCTTACCCATATTTTAATACTTTACTCTTTTGCAAATGCTTGTCGCACACACCTCTCACTTTTTTAAAAAGATTTTATTTGTTTATTTGACAGAGAGAGCACAAGCAGGAGGAGCAGCAGAGGGAGATGGAGAGGGAGAAGCAGGCTTTCTGCTGAGCAGGGAGCCCAACTCAGGGTTCAGTCCCAGGACCCTGGGATCATAACCTGAGCCAAAGGCAGATGCTTAACTGACTGAGCCACCAGGCACCCCACGCCCCTTTCATTTGAGCTTGTATGAATCCAGCAATAATAGGGGTGCCTGAGTGGCTCAGTGGGTTAAGCATCTGCCTTTGGTTCAGGTCATGATCCCAAGATCCTTGGATTGAGCCCCACATCAGGCACCCTGCTCAGCAGGGAGTCTGCTTCTCCTCTCACTCTCCCTCTGTGCCCTCTCACTCTCTCTCTCTCTCTCTCTCTCTGAAATAAAGAATTAAAAAAAAAAATCCAGCAAGAATAGATGGACAAAAGGAGACTCCTCTCTCTCCCTCTGTCACTCCCCCCCTTTGCGTGCTCTCTCACTCTCTCTCTCTCTCTCTCTCTCTCATTCTCTCCCAAATAAATAAATAAATAAAATCTTAAAAAATAATAAGAAGAAGAGACGGGCAAGGGTCTTCACTTTAATATGCACTGAACACACACAAGTTACAGACAGAGGCCTATGTTAAGTATTTAACCTTCTCTCTGCCCTCAAGAGACTCATAGTCCAGGAGTTGAGTCAAGGCTTGTAACCCAGGGAGAATGTGATGTGACCAAGCTTAATCTATTAAAAAAGAAAGAAAGATAGATTTTAAAAAGAAAGGAAAAATCTAGGACATAAAACATGAAAACAATCTAATCAAGCCCCTAGATCTAACCACCAATTTACAGGAAAAAAGGGAGAGGAACATGTTAATAATGCCATGAGGATGTGACCAGACAATCCCAGAAATTGAGAAATTCTACAAGACATTGGGAAATTCTTCAACAAATAAATATCATGAAATAAAGAGGAAGGGGGAACTGCTCTAGATTTTCGAAGACATAAAAGACCTTCATCCATGTGAATTATATTGAAACTTTTAAAATAAATTGGAAAAAGAGACATATCACTCAAATACATTGTGTGGACTTTATCTGGAGCCTGATGTGAACAAACTAATTATCAAAATTCATTTCAGAGCACACTAGGAGAGTATGAACATGGACAGGAATTGGATGTTAAAAATTATTGGCAATTTTATTAGGTGTGATAGCGACATTGTGCTTATCTTATTTTTGAAGTTCTTATCTATAGAGATACATATAAAGTATTTATGGGTGGGATGATATGATGTCTGGGAATTGCCATAAAATACTCCATCTCCTCTCCCTCTATCCCCCATAAAGTGGGGGAAAGGAAGGATGAAATGTGAATAAATGCTGAAACCGGGTAATGCACTATGGAAGTTTACTACAGTACTCTCTCGACTTTTGTGTACATTTGAAAATTTCCATGAAAAATAATAAGCAAAAAAAGAAAGAAAAAGAGGGAACTGTCAGTATGATTTTTTAAACAGGGTAGAATTTCTGATAACATTAGATAAAAAGGCATGTCATTCAGAAAGAGAAAATGGACTTGGGAAGATGGGGAAGCAAAGTTGCCCTTGGTATGTTTACAGGGAACAACCAAGAGCAACTGGGTATGGTTAATATCAGCAGAAAGCAATTTCCTGAAAGTGGGCTGAGGCGCTCCCAACCCTCCAGAAGGGCAGCAGGGCTTGGCACCAAAGCTGTACAACCAGGAACATCTCTAAAATCTACGTCATAGAACTGGGCTGTTGAGGCCACCACCAACACCACCTCCATGTCATGGGCTAACCATGACAGCTTGCGCCTTTGACACTGAACATGGCATGTTGTCGAAATGCTGCCTCTGGGACCTGGATAGAGCCACAACTGCCCACCACCAAAGTGGATTAGGCTGAGTCCTGGCTGCTTCACCTATTTGATTGTCCCACCCAAGGTCAAGACTTGATGCCATTGGCAGATCGAAGTTTGTTTGTTTGTTTGTTTTATTTGTCAGAGAGGGAGAGAGAGCAAGCACAGGCAGACAGAATGGCAGGCAGAGGCATAGGGAGAAGCAGGCTCCCGCTGAGCAAGGAGCCCGATGTGGGACTCGATCCCAGGATGCTGGGATCATGACCTGAGCTGAAGGCAGCCGCTTAACCAACTGAGCCACCCAGGCGTCCCTGGCAGATCGAAGTTTTGCGCCCAAACTCTGACCGCAAGGATGCATACCCAAAACCGTTTCTGCACCCTCTTTCCCTCACTGCTTTAGAGACTTAAAATAAAAACTGATTTTGCAATCTCTCTGGGAGCATTAAATTCAGTTATGTAGACAGAAACACATAAAGCTACCCTCCCTCCCCTTTTAACTTGTGTGTTTCTTACGTGAAGCACATCCTGAGGAGCACAGGATTGAACAGTAATGAGTCTGTACAGTTACTTCCAAAGAAGGTGAGACAGGCCCAGATGATGAACAATGTAAATGAAAGAAAAATGCTAAGGTAAAGGATGATGGAGGAGAGGGAAGGAGGTGATCAACAG